AAGGCGCCGATGTCGATCCTCCCACAACACGACCCACTCATGATGCCTCACCAGCCAATATGTATATGTCTTGCCGCGTCTATCTAAGCTATGCAACTCGTTCATATTACGTGGTGCATCCGGAATTGGTTGAAAACAATCAAACTGTCGGATCACGCGATCAGTGGAGTGCCACTCGACGGTCGCATAACATATCAGAGGGACCATCACCATCCAAACATATGATGGACCCCTCAACTCAGGTGGGATCATCGCCCTCACATCATCAGTAGAATATGGCACCCATTCAAACTAAAACAAATAATATACAATTTTTATCAAAATAATAATCTAATTATATAATTATAATCTAAAATCGATTTTCAAACATTAAAATTCATACATGTGTGCCAACCTTCTGATCGATTAGCACCCTAATTTTTTCTAAATCATCAGGTAGCTCCTGATGATTTTTCCTATCAGTAGACCACCTATTCAAGGAAAAAATTTTATTATACGATGTATAAAATTATTAATATACAAAATCAGTTTTATAATTACCTCAGAAGTAGTGGAAATACGAATGGGTTCTTCATAACGGGACATAAAAAGGGCAATCGATACCATGCCCAAGACTGCAGCAGCAAGAGACATCCGCCGATAGCATTACGCCTGTAGTCAGTGGCTCCACACATCTCCCTGTACAGTAAAGCCAAAACTGTCGAGCCCCAACTGAATGATCCGGCGAGACGAAAGTCGCTAAGATGTCGCAACCACATGCAGTGAACTAGGTTGCGCGATTTGTCCGGCATCATCAACCCTCCTATCAACTACAATATGCATGCCCGTGCATACATCTTAACCTCATCCTAAGAGGCGTCTGTGCTCAACTCCCGAAAATTGGCATCTCACCAATTTAACGGTATCCTACCTCCGATAAAACTTTCCGGGACACGTCCTAGATTATCTCAACACAAAGTAGTCCAAGAACCGGAAGCTATCCCTGATATCACATCTCCATCCACCGGAAGCCCTAGGTGTATAGAAACATCCTCAAGCGTGATCGTGCACTCTTCGCACGGAAGATGGAATGTGTGGGTCTCCGGCCTCCACCGCTCTACTAAGGCAGAAATAAGGTCTGGTTCTATCTTACAGTGACCCTGATATCTACCTATGTAACCAAATCCAGCCTCTACTAAATACGGTAAGACACGGCTATGTATCACTAACTTAAGATTCCTAATAAAAGGATCTAATACACGATTCTTCTCCTAAAAATAAATAATTACAAAAATTAATTCTTAATCTAATAATCATGCATTAAATAAATCAACTAATTATTACTAATAATTTAAATTAAATTAAAACGTTAAAATGTTACCTATCAGCAAAGTGTCGAGATATATGATTTCCATCCAAGCGAAGTAGAATGCCTTCCATTATATATCTGCAAAAGAATTATATTAGTAAAATATTAAATAAAGTAAAATACTTAAATAAATTAAATACATAATATTAAAAATATTATAAAATATACCTTAAACATAGAGAGAATTTGAGAGAGTTTGAGAGAATTTGGGTGTGATAAAAGTGATTAAGGATGGGGGTATTTATAGGGAGGATTGGGGTGTGGACGGGTGGGTAATTAAAGGTATAGCGCGCGCCCTGTACCGCGCTATACCCATGTGTAACTCATGTCAGCGTATAACGCGGTGCAGGGGGCGCGTTATACCCCACGTGGCGCCAAATCAGCATATAGCGTGGGGCATGGGGCGCGCTTTACTGCTATGGGTGTTAGATCGGGAAATATAATATGACCGGTGTTAGATCGATAAATATACCGATCACCGATGATTTTTTGGGAAAACACCCTAGTTTGAAGCTCATAAGTTCATTTATAATTAGAATAAATATATAGGATTGTCGTAACCGTCTTTTGATTGGGCCCATAATCGGGCTTCGACTTGGATAATTGGGTTAGGAGTCGCCACAGATCATTTATTTAAAAGTAAATTGGTTGACCGGATACCTTATTTCTTACCTGATCTGCATCTTACCAGTGATGTGTCGGAGTCAGTTATAGTCAAGGAAGGGTTAGCACCCTTGAACTGCCCTTTCGATACTATGTAATTTCCAGTTGTCTTTAGTTAAGAAAAATATAACTTTAAATTAAAAGGTAAAATAACGATCTCAACTACTTACAATTAATTGATTTGAAAGCGTACCCTTTAAAAGTCAAAATATGTGTTAGAAGAAATAAATAATAAAGAAAGTAAAACAAATGAAATAAGGAAAGTGATAAAAAATAAATTAAATATAAAAATGAATAAAATACATAAAATAAATAAAACGAAGAAAAATAATAACACATATATATACATAGTAAATGACTAAATAAAAATAAAATGATAATGCAAATAAATGAATAAAACAAATAAAAGGAAGATAAAAAGATAAAAATAGAGAATAAAAATAAAAATAAAAATAAAATAGATCAATAATTAAAGTTTATATATATAAGTAAAATAATAAAATAAAATAAAATAAAATAATATATATAATAGAAAATCAAAAGTATATATATATATACATACATATAGGAAATAAAATAGGAAATATAAATATATATATATATATATATATATATATATATATATATATATATATACAACAATACTAATGATAAAATAAATATATAATTAATAAAACATAATATATATATAACACAAATAATAAGAAAAAACAAATAATTAAAAAGAATTAAAATTTAATAACCAAATTGAAGTTGGCATGGATTAAATTGAAAAGAAAGGAAAATCAAGTGGCCAAATTAGAACGAAATCGAGGTTTAAATGCAGTTTTGGGACCAAAATAGAAGTTTTAAAAACTCATAAGGATTGAAATGGACTTTACCCATTTAAGAAGCAAAACACGCGAACCCTAAGCAATTGGGTCGGGTCGCGCGCAGATTCCAGATCGACCCACGGGCCAAGTATTTAAGTTAATTTTTCTAAAAGCTTCATTTTCCCTTCTCTTCACACAAGAGCCTCCCCTTTTCCATATTTTTCTCTCAAGTGTTATTGAGACTCAAGAACACAGCTGGTTTTTCCAGATTCCAGCATCGCGTCGGCCGTCGGTCATCGACGGCAAAAATAGTTTTTTTTTGTTTCGAAAGCATTTTAAACATGGTTTTCAAAAATCAAACCTTTTTTTTAAAAACAAATCGGCCTCGGGGATAGGTCTAATAAAATAGATCTAAAAAAAAACCCTTATAGATCCTCGACCAAATGGGTTTTTGGTCATTTTCAAGCCAAACCACAAGCGCAAATCGACATGCAAGGGAAAAGATGAACGAACAAATGTAAAAAGAAATGCTACCTCTTTTATTTCTCTTCAAACCGATTACAAATGCTTCAAAAATCACTATCTATTTGCTCGTATTTTCTGGTAATTTCGTATGAAATCCATGTCAATCATGTTCAGTTTACATGTATTTATATTCTAAGAACACTAGTCATAGTCCCGATTTTCTAGCATTTTATTTGGACTGAATCACTATTTGGTTGGTTGTGAGTGAATCCTTCTGAGTCACGTCTGTTGAAACGTGAGGAAGCTGGTTGCGTGGGGCGAGGGTACCGGTGGTAGTTTCGGGTTGCTGGTGAAGTTGCGTTGAAGAGGCTGCGACGCTAGGGTTTTTGGAAACCCTAAGTTTGCACAAGTTTAGCTTAGAAACTGGTTTGCACGTGGGTTTGGGTCCGATGTACTAGGCCACTGGCTTTGTAATAGTTTTTGGGCCACCTATAAAATGAAACATGAATAAATAAATAAATATATATATATATACATATATATTATAATATAGTTTGCAATAAACAAATACAGTAGAAACTCTTTAAATTAATACTCGGTAAATTAATAAAATCTCTAAAATAATAAATTTGTCCGGTCCCGACTTGGACCAATGTAAAAAATTGAAAAACCCGATAAAATAATAAGATAATAATTTTTCGTGAGATCACTTTATAATTTTCGGTCCCAAGAAAATCATAAATTAATAATTCATAGAAACTGAAAAAAAATATATTACACTCTATTGAAATATGATTTAATAGTTGTCTGTTTTCCTTTAAAGTTCAAGTTTATTTAGAGCTCATTATTAATTTAACTCATCTCTTGCAACGTAATTCTAAGAGGCATAGACTAATTTATCTTTTTATTTGGTATGTACAGTATAATTACTTAAAAACTCTTTAAATTAATAATTATTAATTTATCGATAAATTAATAACTCTCTAAATTAATAAATTTCTCTGATCATGACATTATTAATTTATAGAGTTTTAACCGTATATTATATACAACAAAATCCAAGGACGAAAATTTGATGCTACTCTAGCAATTTTAGCTACTCTAGCTGAGAAAATCGATGGCACGGTGGCTATTTTACGTCGTGGAGGCTTGCGGTTGTTAGTGGACGTTCTAAATACCTCCACTTCTAAGACAACTAAGGAATACTGCGTTTCCATGTTGTTGGCTCTGTGTGCAATGGCGGTCTCGATGTCGTCGCTCGATTGGTGAAGATCCCTCTCTAATGAGATACTTTTATTCCCAACTCAGTGAAGGCACGTCTCGAGCTCGCAAAAAGGCCAGTGCAATCATCAAGATTTTGCACCAATTCTATGAAAACAACCCTCCGTCGGCTTCAGTGACTCCAGTTCTTTCACAGGAACGATCCGTTCATGTGTGGTAATTCGTGATCTGATCTTTTTCAAGTATCTGTTTATCAGATTTCTATATGTCCATACCTGCAATCTTCCAATGTAAATACTCCTGTCTACACTGCTTGCTTGCTTAATCAGCTCGGCTCGGTTTTTTGAAGAGCATCCACTTAGCTTCTGCCTTTTTTTTTAATAAAACTGAGTAAAATAAAGGTTGCAAGACTGTAATACTGTGATGTAAAAACACATTCCTCATAAGTTGTATTGCAATATTATGTATAAGTATATACTACTCTGTTGTACGATTCTTCGTCCATGTTTTTTTAATAAGATTATGTTAAAATCTCTACAAACATGAAGATTTATGTCTCTTGTGTTTCCTCTTTGAAACTTTAGTATGTTATCGTTCCATTGGATGCAACTGGCTTTGCTTGTATTGTGATATGAAGTGCTTTATGTAGTCTTACTACAGCTTGCTCCATGGATGGCCTTTCCTGCTTTATCCCTATACATAACAAAGCTAGCTTGAGTACGATGTCGAAAGCTTCTAACGAGTACTCCCCGTTAAGTTTCGGGTCTGCAAATTTGCTTATGTCCCCATCTCTGGTGAGTTTTCTTGCCTGGGAAGTGATAGAAAAAACAGTTTGGGATCTTAGTAAATAGGAAGGATGGATATCTATTGTAAACTTGATGGTGATTGTTATTACCGTTTTACTTAGAGACAGTGGTGTGTGAAGATTCATATTGAGCACCCTCTGCCCCGACAAAAGTTGTAGAAGTACTATACCGAAACTGTAAACATCACCGGATGCGTTCACATGGCGGTTTCTACGGTACTCAGGGTCAACATAACCAAACGTCCCTCTCACTTCTGAGCTCACATGGGATTGACCTATATCCATAACTTTAGACAATCCGAAATCTGCTAGTTTTGCTTGAAATTTATCATTAATCAGGATGTTTGTTGGCTGACAAAACAGAAAACACCGTAAATACACCAAATTAGAGAAGACTAATGATTCCTCTGTTCTCGAATGTACCTTGATATCACGATGAACGATGCAACCTTCCGGATAAGTATGGAGAAACCAGAGTCCCCTTGCACTGTCTATTGCAATCTCGAGTCTTTGAATCCATGAAAGAGCTTTATCCTTTCCTGCTCAATATGTTTGTGTGAATGGCTCTCTATGTAACAAAATCTTAAAATGACATTAACTCCACATACCATATAGCCACTCTGATAGGTTCCCATGATGGCACAGTTCATACACTAGGAAGCATTCATCCTCGTTCTCACAATAGCCGACCAGAGCTACGAGGTTCGGATGCTTAATATGAGATAAGCTTCTGACTTCCCGGACAAAAGTTTCGATCTGTCCATCGTTGATAATATGCTTAACTGCGACGTGCTGGCCATTTGAGAGAAGACCCTTGTATACTTTTCCTGCTCATAATGGAGCGAAATGAGGATCCGAGATTTCCTAGTAAGGACCTTAAAAAAAATCCAAAACAGTCCTAGTTAGGGTCTAACCAGCTATGCCTTGGCCAATGAAGTTTGATGCATCGAAATGGTTTGTTGCTGAATAAACTTCTTTGATAGAAATCTTCTGAGAGGAGGAATGCTTCGAGAATGACTCGTTCGACTCTGTAAATTACGAAGAAGATGATGATTATCAATAGCTATTAGTAATCTGTTCTTAGCCTGATTGAATTATTAAGCAGAAAAAACTACCATTTTTCATAGCAGGAAGGATTTGTTCTTTCCTCTTCTTGTAGCAGATCCATGTAGAAATGACTACTATTATCAAAGTTGCCTCTAACCCTCCAATTAAAACCATAAACCTATTATGATCAACAATGTTTTACACCTTTCAGTCAATAATTAGGTTAGAACATCAAAACTCGGGACTTGAGAATGCCGATGATTGCGGTTTGCGATTACCTTTCTTATGGATATTGTAGCTAGTTGTGCTTCCATGTTCATCTGCAAGTTACAAGGGAAGTGCATAGTTATAATCATTGATCTTATGGAGAATTACGTCGAAAAACGGGATTCAGAAGGCAATGGCAGTTATCTTGTCTTACCTAAGGAATGAGCCCTTTCTCCAAGGCATTGAAATACTGCAAGGACCCAATTCTCATCGTCAACCCTATTGCTTATCATGGATACCAGTGCTGCAAATCTACATACATCAGCATCACCAGTAACGTGTACCGCAAGATTAATCTCTTCCCAACTCCTCAAACATGTACGACACGATTGATCCGATCCGTTACCGGTACCTAGCACCCAACAATCATCTTGTAAGCTTCGGAACCTAACTCCCATCTTACCGATTACATCGGTGACGGTATAATCCGAACAGCCACCGGCTCCACTCGTTAGCTTCTGAATTCCACAGCTGTATACATCTTTCTCAAAGCTCTCCATCTCTTCCAAGCATTTGTTTTGTTGTGTGGAATTCAAGTAAATGGCTTTTGTAAGGTTTGCTCGCCGTCCGAGCGCATGAAGGTATTCTTCAAAGGCGCCACCGTAGCAACTGCCGTTGATAAAACCAGCCCAGTTGCCTGATTCACAATTCGAAGGTTTTTTAATATCGAGAATGCAATCGCCTACCGCCAAAGTCTCGGAGAACGCGGAATCAAGGGAGGAAAACAGAACAAGGACATTCATGACGATGAAAGGGAATGCTTTATGGTTTACCCTTTTGAAACAAGCTAAATCCACAGCCATTTGAAGAGAGAATAATAACCCAAACCTTTCCGTTGGTGTTAAATGAATCCAGGCAAACCAAGAGATGATGCTGTTGGACTCATAAATGTCAATAACTAAAAGATTGTTCCAGTGAAGAAAGTATTGGAATTTAGTCTTATATCATTACTTTAACAAGGTATAAACACAAGGCGCCAAATGTCTACAAGGAGCATAAAAGCTTACGTCCTTTGAATACAAATGGAATCTAGTTAATATCATTCTCCATATGCTGCCTTAAAAAGGTCAAGACATTGTCCAAATAAAGTTTAATTTAAGGCTTAACTATATTTAAAAAATGATGGTTGCTGCCGGCTCGTATTGCAGAGGAAATTTACTCTTTTTCATTGTCATGTTATAGTTGAATTAGTCACCCTCTTCCCAAAGTATTGAAGCATGGTGACTCACCTAGAAAACTTTGACAGCAAACGTCCTGCATTATTTGATGGAATTTTATGTAAATTTGATTATAAAATATACAAATATTGCTATAAAAATAATTTTAAATAGCAAAAGGAGTTGGTTCCTACTCGATCTAAATTTTAATTTAATTAGAAGGGTTAAAAATATTCGAGGTTAATCTGGTTTAATTATGCATAAAGAACTTATGAGTAGCTTGAAAATGAGGAGAATAAAATGATGTAAGAACCCTCTTCACTTGTTGCATTTCAATCCATTACCGCTTAATATAGATTTCCTAACCCAAAGATTGATACAACTGCACTCTTAATATAAACATGGAAAACCATTTTTGGTTAGCACTACAATAATACTTTTCATACAAGAAAATTGTTCTGTTCTTGATAGAATAGAAATGGGAAAATGGATGTTTAAAACTTGAAAAAGGAAGGGCTACCACAAGTAGTGAAGAACATGAGTCATGACTTCATTCCATATGGTAGACAATGAAGTAGGGTACTGTCAAATGTCAATAGTGCTCTTCATTGAGGCGGCCAAAAAGGTTGTCCGGGGTTGATATTTAACCTATATTGTGCTTAGAAGTATTACAAACTCTCTACATTTACTTCTTAAAACCAACAGAGATTGAAAAAAAAATGTATCCATGACTCACCCAGCGAAGAGCAACACATGAACCGCCAGCACGGCATCAATGTTAGATCAGGATCTCGAACGCAAAGCCAGACCAGTCTCCACTTTTTTAATTTCAAATATCAGCATCCTCCACATCTTAAGCACAAACATCTCTGCCTCCTCATCTAATATAGACTGCAGCAGCTCCAGCATTTGGGAAGCCTTGACATGTTCCTGAGTACTAGATACGATGTAATCAACCAGAGTTTTCTCTTCTTCTCCCAAGAACTCCATAATTTTCTTTGAAATCCAGGGTCTCATTCTCTCATGCAGTGCATGCTGCACAAGTGACAGTACCACTTAGAATTAGTGTCAAGTTTATAATTTGGGTTTAAACTAAAATTATAAGGTAAAAGATATCTGCCCAAAGATGATTATTTCAAACAAATGCAGAAGAGAAATATGGATACTGCAATGTTCATGTTAGTTCCATATATGCCAAGGAAGAACAAGCCTAATGCAATTGAAGCTAACATTATGCACTATTTTAACTAGTTAGCCCTAACCAGAGGACAGAATGTTTGAAAATAACAGTTTGAAAAAAGACATGTGAAAAGATGCTTACCTGGTCATAAACATTCCAGTTTATCTCATATGAAAATAGCTCCTCCTTGGTCTTTGGAATCATATCAATTAATTGTTTTGCATCCAAAAGCTTCTGGTTATCGGTTGTTTTCACCTTACCCTGTCCATGTTCCCTGTCTCTATCCCGGTCAGGGATTTTCTCTTTGGTCTTGTCTCTGTTGCGATTTCTATCCTCATCATTACGATCCTTATCCCTACTAGATTTATCATATGAACGCTTGGTTTGCTCTCTTTCTGAATCAGGCTTTTCCTCTTTAGCTTTAACATTCGATATTTGCTTTGCAAATTCAGCAGCTGCAACCAAATTTGGTGAAGGTGCACCAGGTTGGACAGCCTGCAATTCCTCGTTAGAGTAATCAATGGGAACTAGAGGCCTCATTTTCTTCTCCTTCTGTGCATCATCATCTTCCTCCTCATGGAAAACAGATGGAACAGTCGTCCTCTTTCCAGATCCAACAAGACCAAAACCCAACTTTCTTGCTGGTGCATTCCCACTCTGTCTTGTATCCGAGGCAGAAACAAAGGTTGTGTTTGATTCATCAGCTGAACCATTTTGCATATTCTCATCACCTATCATACAAAAACGTATTTCATTTCAGAAAAACAAATAAAACAAGATGAACAAAATAATTAAATTCGACGAAGTTATGAAGAAGAACAAATACCAACTATCTTGTTTTCATGACTTGATTCGCGCTCATAATGCTGTTCAATCGCCTTATCTTTGCTCTCAACGCTAGCTTCTTCAGTCAATACAGTCTTTTCAGCTCCGTTTTCAAAGCAACCAGACAAAAGCTTTAATGCATCTCGTTGCTGCTGCAGTTGCAGCTCCTCCTCCTCTGCCCTTTTCTTCGCCTCAGCCATTTCTTTCTCTTCTTTTAGTCTATCAGCCAAGTCATCCTCCTTCTCCCGCAACCTCTTCCTTCTCTTTTCCTCCAAAACACCCCTGCGCAACCTTTTTCTCGAATCATCATCATCATCCTCTCTTCATCATAGCGAATCTCCTTCTTTCGTTTGCGCTCCCTCTTTTTCCTTCTCCTTCTCATACTGTCTCTGCTTCTCCTTCTCCTTTTCTCTTTGCTCCCAATCTCTAAGAAATTTTTCATACTCACGCTCTGCTTCCTCAATCTTCCTTCTCTGCTCCCTCTCTTTTCTCATCCTTTCCCGCTCTGTTTCTCTTTCTAATCTTTCAATTTCACGCTCCTTCTCCCTCTTATGATCTTGCTCTCTGTCTCTACTCCTATCATGCCTACGTTCTGGTGAACTTGTCTCTGGTCGATCATTTTCAGTTGTCGCTTTGCCCTCACTGGTAGTCCCATCATCATTTTTACCTTCAGCTCCATCTGCAAAATATACTTAGTATAATCTCCTCTATTTGAAAAATAATAAGTATAATTACTTCCTCCAGTGTAATTCTCATAAAAATTTCATGACCTTTATAGATTTTGATGACTGGCATGATTAAGATAATAAAGAGATCAACAAAACCACAAATATGGAGCCACAAAAACTCACCATTTCGCACTAGATCAACATCTGAATTTGATTTACCAACATCAGAAGCAGTTAGTGGAGGAGGTGGAGGGAGAGGATTGGTCTTTAACCTCTCCTCAATCATGCCAGCAAGCTTCTCTGAAGCATCTCGATCAGCCTCACGGTCTTCATCAGTAACAATGCCAGAATTGGCAATGTCAACAATAGTTTTTTCTTTGTTGTCACTGTCACCGGTTTTGGAATTCTCGACAGAAGTTGAGGATTCATTCTTCTCATTATCTACTGCATTTTCACCTTCTTTATCAGACCCTGCAGCTGAAGCTTCATTTGGTTTCTTTGCATTTTCAGTTTTCTTTTCAACATATTTCACCAGATAATCCTTTGTTGCTTGATTAACATTTACCTGTTAGTGCAAAATAGAATCAACGAAACAAGGACTAGAAATGACCACAAGCAGAAGTAAATCGTTCAAATAGAAACATCAGCTCACAAACACTGAATAATATATTGCTTTGCCCTTCATTCTAGGATGCAGAGACCGGAACCAATTGCTGCTAAAGGAATATTACTTACAGACTGCCACTTACTCCACAGAACCAATAATCAACCTTAAAGTAATCTATTTTAGGAATAAAAAGGCATAGAAGTTCCAGTAAAGTGCCCATTTGAAACAATTTTAAAGTGAAAAAATATCTAGAAACGCTTAGAAAAGGAGGCAACACAATCATTGAAAACAGATCATAATGAAACACCTTGCATTTAACCAGGAAGATTAATTCTATCTTAAAGCTTAATGTAATTCATAATTTTCTCCCGTGTTTTACATATCATTTATCATACCGTTCAATTTTATATTTCATACATGATACAGGTTATAAGATACAATCATTTTAAATTGAAGTAAAAAATAGTAGTTTGATCAAATTCAGTTTCTAATAAACTGAACAGCTTGTCACATAAACGAAATGTGATAATAATCCAACCTTCACAATATTCAATCATAGTGAATTTAGAAGCAAACCTCACCACACGCACACAACACAATATGTAAAAAAAACTTTCAAGAAAAAACGGAAATTAAAAGGATAATAAAAAGAACTCACCATTAATTCTTGTCCGTCAATATTAAATTTGCTAAGTAGACGTAATGCACGAAGAACCCCTTCAGCAGACTCGAATTCACAAAACCCAAAACTTTTTGGAGCCCCATTAGAGGGACGTTTCCAACTCTTCACAGGTCCACAAAGCTTCAAAAAGGTGAAATAAAAACATTATACTAAACCAAAGCACAAAAATAAACATAAGCAGAGCAACTTCAGAAATGGAAAAAGTACATCAATATACAAAAATAATAACTCACACGAAGAAGAGAGAGCATGAAGTCATTGTCCACAGATGGTGCTATCTTGCCAATATAAACTGTAGTTTGTGGTTTCTCTGTTGGAGTAACATTGGGAATAGATGGTCTGATGATAGGAGGAATAATTGGGCGAACACCAGGAACAGGAGGCCGTGAAACTGTTGGAACCATACCAATAGTTCCAGGTGGACGTGGAGGGAATGCAGGCCGAATCATTGCTGGGTAGGGAGAAGGATAGCGAAGAAGTCCTGCATAAACAGAACACAATATCTATGCAACCATATCAGAGCAAGTTGACAAAATAAACATATCGATAATGTTTTAAATGTAACTAGGCACTCTTACAGGAAATGAATTTTCTAAAATAATAAATAAATTATTTTTACCACACATTAAAACTATAAAGAGATGGCACCACATGCATGGCAACTATCACCAGCTGACTAGCAAA